ATATATATATATATATATATATATATATATATATATATATATATATATATATACACACACATATATATATATACATATAGTCATATTGTCATGGATTTAAGGATACACAGACAGTGTTGGGGTTGTCCTGTCAGCAACACCATACTGAGTCTTCCTGAAATCCTTTTTATTGGTGACAAGATCTCAGAATCTCCTCTGCAAATCCCTCCTCTAAAAGTTTTCAACCTGTCAATTTCCTCTAAAAGCTAGATAATTCCCATCTTTTCCTTTCCCCCCATCCTCTGCTCTCTTTTTTCTTGCTCTCTTTTTCCCCCCTTGTCTCAATCCCTCTGTCTCATTTCTTTCCTTTGCCTTCTCTCCTCTCACTCTCTGGCCCGGATCCCTCTGCACAAGGGGCCCCATTGTATAGTTTTAATCCAGAGGCAACACAGCTTTAGGGACATGCAGGGATAAAAGGCCCATCAAGCCCACAACTTTATGGGGGCAAATCTCTCCCTAATCCTTCGCTTTATCTAAACAAAAGCCCCTCTGCCTTAATCCACCTATGTGTTGAAAAAAAAAGAGGAAAAACAGGAGAGAGTGGCAAAGAATAGGAGAAGAGAAAAGAGAGAAAACAAGAGATTGTTGGAGAAAAAATCTCACTCAGGGATTGAACTGGAGGATATCTTTGAGGGAGGGTCAAACTTTCCTGGAAGAGGTAAGTTGTACTGACAAGCTGTCACCTGCATGAAGTTTCATATGTCGGTGAAGCACCTGTGCAGCAGACCCCTGATTTCACCACATAAGCAAATATTCCATAGTACAAATGCAAAATTATTAGAGATGATTTTTTTGTGTGTGTATTTGTAGAAAACATGGCTTGTGTTCATGGTTAAAATTAATAGGATTTATTTATTCAACAGTCACAGACCTGCCACACAGCTTGTGTAAGAAGCGATACTTTCATATAATTCACAGAATTTTATCCGTCTCCAGAGGGCAATCTGAGGCCCATTAAACGGTCATAGACTTAAAAAATACAAATATGTTTACATGCCAACTTCTGTTTAAAAAATAACTGTGAAAAAATATTTAACTTATTCAGGTAAGTTACTTGTGAAGAGCAACTTTGGTTTAGGGCGGCTGAAAACAATGTCAACTTATTTGATAGAAAGAGTGTTTTTTAATATACATTTGATGCTAGAGCAACTTGTTCTGGAACACATAGTTTCAGTTTTGGCACACAGTGGAAAAGCCATTGAAATGTCTTAAGTTCCCTCTATTGAAAGAATCTATTCACTGCTCAATGCAGGGGAAAACATAATGAGGCAATCAGAAACCCACATATTTGAATTTAGGGATGAATTTGATTTGTGTTGTAATAATTCAAAATAGAATCCTGCACAGGGTTCTTCATAGAATGCAATTCAATCCATTTATGTTTGTTGAATTATAGTAAATTCAAATCCAGGTAAATTCACTTACTTTGCTACTTCATAAAAGGTTTCCTTACTCAGAAAACCAACCAACTGCTTTTGTCTTTGATTCAGTCCCCTGTACTGAGAATTTAAGGAAAAAAATATGCGGCTGACCCTATCAGCGTGTACATGCCAATGGTTTGAAGATGATTCAGTTAGCATCATGGTCACGTTCACCCTCTAACAAAGGGGCCTAATTTGGTTTTCCAAATTCTCTTTAAGTCACTATGACCCATACTGACGTTCAATTTGGCGTGGTTCTCTCAGGAACTTCTTCCAATTAAAGAAATTGGTGCATGAGGGCAAATCTTAACAGAGATGACTAAGCTAAAGCTCCTCTGTACAGCCAGAATCCCTTCACCTCCCCTCAAACATCTGTCTTTACTGTAGAAAATCCCACTGTATCAGCTCCACTCTAGACAATCAGACCCTAATCTGGAGCTGGATTTAGCAGACGGAGAGCTCACAGAATTAAAGTCAGAACTGAGCTCGTTGGATACCTGCAGCAATATTGCCCTTAAAAAGGACATTGAATCAATATCTTCACAATTATTTTTTTTTCCAAACAAATGAACCGAAGATCCAGAATGTCGCATCAATCTCAAAGTTGTGAAAAACAAAAGCAACAATCTTTTTCTTCCCCATCTTGCCACTTTCAGCATGCTGCTCATCATTGTGCCTTCATTAACACCCTTAATTACCTTCTCCTCTTTGGCTCCATTTCTACCTAATAGAGCTAACACAGAGCTAATGAAGCAAATAGTTGGGACAATTTAGCCATTAGAGATAATTAAGACAATCCAATTCAATCCCACTCAGACCAGAAGACAAGGAGAGATCCAGTCTGGGAGAAGCAGCCACCCAAAACCAAGCACTGTTCAGTGCAGAGTCAGCTAGTGCAGAAAATTTGCTTTCAACTGGATTTGCTGAATTTTCCCCCTGGTAGTATCACAAGCAATACTTGAATTATTATGAGGCTGATCAGCAGTTGGCTGAAGGCATCTCCGATTCCTTCATGCA